GTACACCTGGGGTGGGGTGGGGGAGCTGACACAGGCGCAGTCCTGTCTGCTACCCCCACATGGCTGAAGGGACTCAGATAGGGCTGTCACAGCCTGGCACGGTTGGTCGTCTATTCAGTTACTCAATAAGCATTCCGATAAGCCTAATGCTTACTGAGTAATTGATTAAATGGTTAGCCTTTTACATCTCAGTTCCTTCTCATTTTGCCTCTGATTTGTTTATGCTTTTAGATTACAGCAGAGATCTCAATAAAAAATAAGATGACAATTCTGCACTTTTTTTCTTTGAGGCAACTTCCCCCCAACTGCTAGTCAGATCCTGAAGTCCTCACGGCTTTTATTCATAAATTCCCAAGACAAGTTGTCTTATCCTCAGAAGAAAATTGGAAAACTTTTCCATCAGTGCTGGTAATGGTATAAGTACCAGCATAACAGGGGTTAGGCATATTTAGCACATCATGAAAACTTGAGCTCTTTTCCTGCTACATTGCATCTGTACTAGCACTAATAATTATACTGTTTCTTGAAAGCTGATACAAATGTTTCTAGTGTTGGCATGTAAATGGTGGGTCTGAGACATCAACTATTTTACTCCTATCCCAAAACCAGCCCTTTGAGTCATATGGGACACTCTATTGTACTGCCATGACAGTGTTAACAGATGGTAACCCAATATGTTGAGAAGCAATTTTTAAGTCACGTATGGCAGAATTATGTGGTTTGGGTTGTTTTATTGCTCCTAAACATAGCAAATATTCACGTACAAAATTTGGAAACTTTTCTTAGTTTTCGAATTAGCATGGAGCACAAAAATTTTTCTTGTTCTCTTAAGCCTTGTGCCTGCTGACATGACCTTGGAAATCTGACCAATGCAGCTATGTCTTCCTGTACTAGCAGGGATCCTATTAGACTTTCTCCTTCAAATAGGGACTGGCTCTTTGTTCACTTGCAAACGATACAACAATTTAAAATACATTGACTTTTAGTAATCATAGACAAGGCATATATATTGTGGAAGTCTAAATACAATCCCATTACTACACCATTTTTAGTTTAAAAGTGACAGTGTAAAGAAAATATGTAAGAACATGTCCCTGTGGGCTATGATTGATTGTTGCATATGAACACTGGATACAGGTGGAGGTTTTATGTGTCATCTCAGCTGGATTAGGGATGGGCTATGGAAGGGGTGGGCAAATTCCGGCACATAGGGTGGATTTGGTCTGCAGGGTTAGTTCCTGGCGGGTCCCCATCTCGATGTTTACTTGTGCTCCACAGGTATTGGAGGATTGCAGCTCAATGTGAGTGACGGGAAGTGGCATCCCTGTCGACGATGCTTCCTGTTGCTCGGAATGACCACAAACGGCCAACAAGAGCTGCGATCCTCAGATACCTGTAGAGGTGCAGGGAAACAAGTGATGGCAGCCCACCAGAGATTAACCCTGTGGGCTGCCATTTTTTATTGCCCATCCCAGGTTACACTAATGAGATGTTTATAAAGAAGCCTGCAATCAAGGTTCCAGGATTTCTACCTATAAAATGAAATACTTTAATATAGTAAAACAAGATACTGCTCTTTCAGAGGAATGCTGCTGTACAAGGAGGAATCAAAATGCACTGGTAAGCACCGATTCCTTGGCCATCTCAAATTATTTAATGAAAAAGATGAATTATTCATCTAATGTGTAACAAATGTGTGCCATACATAATCTCACCAGTGGGTGCATATTAGAAGTGCCCTATAGTGAGATACCATACCTTATAAAAGTTGTCAGTAGTGGTCCTAAGCCATGAGGTTCTGAGGTAGATCCAAACATCTTAGAAGCTTTGAGATCTTATAAGGGAGGGTTGACTGATGCAAGAAATATCCTCTGCACTGGGGAAGGATGTTTCAGATCACTTGCATGTTTTATACCACTGATAGGATTTGTTTTTGTGGCTAAACATGTCATACTAATTAGCTATATACTTCATTGAATGATGTTATTCACATTTATGTGTGAGTGATACAGTTTGGTTGGTGCTTTCAGATATAGAAATTATAGTTTGTTTCATTTTAAGAGTTTTCAGTCTTAACAGCTCAAACCTACTAGACATTGCGGCTATGTCTATACTGCCGGCTTTTGCTGGCAGAGAGTATGCAAATGAAGTGCTGATTAGTATTTGTTGTGCTTCATTTTCATAATCTATTCAAGCTGTTTGTGCTCAAAAATAAGCAGTGTGGACGTTTCCTTTTTGCGCAAAAGCCTCTTTTTGTGCAAGATCCTTCTCTGGAGTAAGGATCTTGCACAAAAAGGGGGTTTTGCGCAAAAATGGCTCAAAGATTATGCTAATGAAGCTGCTAATCAGCACTTCATTTGCATAGTCTCTGCTGGAAAAAGCCAGCAGTGCAGACAAAGCCTGCATGAGCGGATCCCTTGAAGTCCATGGGGCTCTGAATAGGCACTGGGATCTATCTGTATGCAACATATTTCAGGAGCAGAGCCTTAAGTCAGTCAGACTCAATAAAATTCAGCTATTAACAGGACAATCAGGGCATTATGGCCAAAAAAAGTACCTTGGTGTATTTAGAGAGAGAGATTTGACATGTGGAATAAATTCACTGGAAATCTCTACAGTATTAAATCCTTGGATTTATAGGATTGGTGATTAATTGTCCTGAATGCAGGAAATCATATAAATCCATAATCCTCTTCTCAACTAAGATTGAATGTAACATAGGTCCAAACATCTGAAACGTAAAACTTTATAAATTAGGAATTGCAGCCAGGAGCCCTTAAATATGAGCACTGAAGACAATTTTAAAAGGATATTGTCTTGTTCCTTCTTTGACATCTATTATAAATTGTTTCAGCTTTTACAGAACAGAGCTGCAAATGTACTTTGTACAAATAGTACCCAAAATAAATACAGCTGTAGTAGAAACTGCTGTAGCTATTGCACTAGAAAGACAAAAGTTATTTGTCATTCTAGGCATCATCTAGCACTGCAGCCCACATGAAAAACAAAAGGCATTGTTGTCTAATGGCTCAAAACTTGGGACTGGTCAGGAGTTCCAGAGCTGTCACTGACTCACTGTTTCACTTTGGATAAAGCATTTAAATTTTTTGTACTTCAGTTTAACTAAAATGGTATAATACCTGCCCTTAGCACATGAATTTAGTTAGGCTTAAGAATGGTTGTGATGTGCTAAAGAAGTGAAAAGCAGTAGTGTTATATTAATAAGCAGCAAAATACCCCAATAGATATATAATCAAAATGTTTAAAAATAATTTCATTGTAAACAAGAACACATTTTCCCCCATAAGCATTCTTTTGAAGTTCTTATACCTTCTAGACAAGGGTATTAACCTTTTTGCTTTCTAAGCCACCACCTCCTCCACCTGCTATAAAAACTCCACAGCCCCAACAACTGTTTTTCTGTATATAAAAGGCCAGGGCTGGCACTGGAAAGGGACAATTTCTTGGGGCTTCATGCCACGAGGGGCCAGTAAAGCTAAGTTGCTCAGGTTTCAGCTTCAGCTGCAGGATTCAGGGCCCTTAGCTTCAGCCCTGCACAGCAGAGCTTCAGCTTTTTGCTGGGGTACCTGAGTGAGCCTCATTTTGGTCTTGCTTGACAGACCTGAAAGCTGCTTGCAGCACCTCAGGGGGCCCTGGTTGAGATCTGTTCTAGATCTAGACCCTCCCTCATGTGGAAAGAGACATGTAAAATTTACTGGCAACATGTTGCCTCACAATGCTCTGGAATTCATTTTCCCTGCTGGCTTTTACCCAGTCGGTGTTGGTTATCTTTCAGGGCATGTTTTAAATCCTGTTCTAGTGGGAGTTTGCTTGAATTGGTGGCTCTAAATTTAAATTCTCATTGATATTTGGGATTTTTTATCCTTTTATGATCTCTCTTCTATTCATTTCTAACATGTACACCCCTCTAGGTAGCCTGAGTTCATACTGTGAGTTGTATTTTATGTGCAACGTACAGATGCCCAGAAGTGATGATGCATATAGTTTATATAAGAAAATAAGTAAAGCATTGAGATTACTGTAATTTTACTAGATCTTCACGGCAGATGTATTGTTACTGTTGGGAACAATCCTGTTCATGTCAAGAAATACACAGATGATTGGGTGCCAGACTCTCATTGGTGAAATTGTATTAAGACTTATGTTTTAACTCCTCCTCTCTCTCACTCCTAATCAAGCCAGCACCGTTTCCATTAATCTGGATGGGTAGAGGAAGGGAGCAGACAGGCAGAGGCAGCTCTACTCCACAAAAATATGATTTGCTCCTCTTGCTAGTGATTCATGAAAACTCTGCTTCACTCTAAGAATGAAGAGCAGAGAGGTAGGTTCATTCTGGAAGCTGCAAGCCTGTAACAATTGGAATGCTGGGGCTGTGTTTCAACCATGATGGGTCCTGGTAAACACTGGCAGAACT